ACACATGGATTCCGACAACTCCTCGTCTGATGAGAGTACACCCTTCCGACCTGACTACTGGCCATGCTTCCTGATCATTGAAGCTTGTGACAAGCAACCTTTGCAACTGAACCCATTTGCAATCTCCAAAGGTATCGCTGGTATCTGCGGAGAGGTTGCCAATGTTACAAAGCTCCGATCTGGTTCTCTCCTGATAGAATGTACTCGGAGGCAACAATCCTTGAATCTCCTCAAAATACAAGATTTTGTCAACGTCAAGGGCGCTGTCTCAGCATACAAAACACTTAACTCGTGTAGAGGCATTGTACGGGACAGAGCTCGATGCCTGTCTGACATGACTGAAGAACAAATTGTCGAGGAACTCTCTCAGCAGTCCGTCACAGCCGTAAAACGATTCACTTTCAAAAAGGACGGTGCTGTTCAACCAACAAACACTTATCTCTTTACGTTCCCGCGAGCAAAGATTCCTGACTCGATTACAGCTGGTTATTGTAGCATTGGTGTGGAGGTGTATATCCCCAATCCACTCCGGTGCTACAACTGCCAAAAGTTTGGACATGGATCCAAGTCCTGTCTCTCCTCTGCTGGTTGTGACCGCTGTGGTGACAAGCATGATGGCAACGACTGTACTAAGGAAGTGAAGTGCACAAACTGCGGTGGTAACCATATGGCCTCTTCCAAGTTTTGTCCAGTGTGGCAACACGAATCCGATATCCTAAAGATCAAGCACAAAGAAAATGTTTCCTTTCATGAAGCTAAGAAGAGGGCTGCAAGTTTAACTGCAGCCCCTTCAACCATCACCTACTCTTCTGCTGTCTACCGTCCTTCTATCACTACTGCAACTACCTCATGTCAGACCGACCTGACATTGGTCATGTCTTCTCAGCCAACTCAACTCGACACAACTCAGCCCATCTCAGCCACTTCATCTCCAAAGCCAAAAGTCAAAACTTCTGAATCACAAACACCAGAACAAATGCCAAAACCAGAAACAGAAACTACGCCCAAAAAAGGGGAAAAAAGAGGCTAGAGAGACTAAAGCAGCTTGCCAAACTCAAAACCAAAGGCCACCTCTCCTTCAGAAGTCCCCGTCGAGGTCCATAACCCCTTTGGCCCTCTGGATATGGAGGTAACTCCATCTCCACCTGACACAAATAGGAGTTCATCAAACGCTTTCTCACTTTCACGTGACATGTCACCAGTGGACGCACCAAGAATCCACAAAACATGATTCAATGGAATTGCAGAGGACTTAAGAATAATTATAACGAATAACGGTTATTGATTCAAGACTTCAAACCATCCACGTTTTGTCTCCAAGAAACCTACACAAAAAAGGATTGATAAATTTGACATCCGTCTGTACAGTTCCCACCACTCCTTTTCTCCTCCCGGTGTAAAAGCTACAGGAGGCACTTCTATCCTGGTGAGGCATCCTCCATAGCCCTGTTCCACTTAACACCAACCTACAAACTGTTGCTGTCCGCATGACTCTGAACATAGGATTTACACTATGTTCACTCTATCTTCCTCCCTCCTCAACTGTCCACCTATCAGATATTCAGAACTTGTATAATCAACTCCCAAAGCTCTGCATAATCATGGGCGACCTGAACGGCCATAACCCTCTATGGGGGAGTACTGATACAAATAATAAAGGAAAGGTCCTGGAAGATTTTCTCTCCAGTAATGATCTATGCATCTTCAACGATGGATCTCCATCCTGCCACTGGAACATACTCTGCACTTGATCTATCACTTAAGGATTCTAATCTCTTAAACGAGTTTGAATGGTTGGTCCACGATGACCGATGACTATTACTCCTTTTACTCCCGCGGATGAATCACCTTCAACAAGATGGAATTTTATTAAGGCCAATTGGCCATTATTCCAAACTCTCTGCTCTGAAAAGCTTATAGCAGACAACTTCATGAATGTTCCTGATCCCATGGAACTATTTTCTGATATCTTAAATACTATTGGAGACGAAACCATTCCTAAGTCCTCTGCAAACCCGCACATATGCAAACCATGGTTTGATACAAACTGCAAACAAGCTAGCAAAAATAGGAAAAAGGCGGAAAAATACTTCTGTCAACATCCTACTGTGCATAACCTGAATGCTGTTAAAATGTCAAATGCCAGGGCAAGACGTACATTTAAACAAACTAAACGCCGGTCATGGAGGAAATATGTGTCCAAAATCAAATCGCGCACACCCATGTCCAAGGTGTGGAACATGATTCAAAAGATGAAGGGCAAAGGATCCAAATCTGGTGTTCTCCATCTGAAAGATGGTGACTCCCTTTTAACCAATAAAGTTGAAATTGCAACAGAATTGGCGAAACCACTCCTCCTCGTCAAACTATAACCCCAAGTTCCAGAAATACCAAACCCAACAAGAAAAGAAATCAGTCAATTTTAACTCTAATAATGGTGAGGATTACAATGAAACGTTTTCTCTCCATGAACTACGTACTGCACTAGGGCAGGCTCACGACGGAGCTGATGATATTCATTATCAGCTTCTGAAACACCTTCCTGATTCAAGTTTGGAAACTCTACTCAATATATTTGATGACATTTGGACAACTGGCATTTTTCCTCCTTCGAGGCACAACGCCATTATCATCCCTGTACCAAACCCTGGCCGGGATCATACCGATCCCTCAAACTACCGTCCTATATCGCTAACTAGCTGTGTTTGTAAAACCATGGAGCGCATGGTCAACAATCGATTAATCTGGTACTTGGAGACCAATAAAATCCTTAGTGACCTCCAATGTGGTTTCCGAAAAAAACGAAGTACCATTGACCACCTGGTGCGTCTGGAATCTTTCATCAAAAATTCCATTGTCAACAAACAATATACTGTATCTATCTTCTTCGATTTAGAAAAAGTATATGATACAACGTGGAAACATGGTATCTTAAAAGATTTACATGAATTTGGATTGAGGGCAGATTACCTCAGTTCATATCTCAGTTTTTAAACAACAGACAATTTCAAGTACGGGTAGGTTCCACATTGTCTGATTATTTCCACCAAGATCAGGGCGTCCCTCAAGGCAGCATCCTGTCTGTCACCCTTTTTAGCATCAAAATTAACAGCCTCACTAACGTCCTGAACAGTTGTGTAGATGGGTCCCTTTTCGTGGACGATTTCAATATTTCATGCCGTGGTAAGAACATGCACGCAATAGAAAGGCAGCTACAACTCTGCCTTAACAAAATCCAAAAATGGGCAAATGAAAATGGCTTTAAGTTTTCAAAATCCAAATCAAATTGTATTCACTTTAGTCGTAAATACAGACCACAGAAGGATCCAGACGTATCTTTAGATGGTACTCCCATCAAGGTAGTAGAAGAGGCCAAAAAAGCAATCTTAACTGCACACCGACCAACAAATCATATTAGACATAGGCAGGTTTGGACAATCATAACTTCAGAGACCAGGATTGCACTCATTGGTCAGTTAGCCACTGCCATTGCAGAGAGAAAAGCTGTAGCCTAGAGTGTGAACAAGATTTTAGGATCCTACCCATATCTTGGTATCACACTAAAGTTTTAGAAAGGGAATCCTTGACGAATGAAACAGTGAAAAAAAAATACGAAAATACGCCTATAAAAAGTTGAACACTGGCATGGGTTAACACAATGTAACGCTTCTCGTGTCTTTGGTTCGATAAGCACTGCATGAAATCAGTAACTGACGTTTGGGTCAGCTATTCACGTAACATGCTGATGGTTGACAGAGTTCCACCACAGAGCTGGATGACACGATTCTGGTTGTAAGAAACCGTCATATTTTCCAGATTGCCACCACACTTACAAATGACCTGCAGAACGCCAATGCTTTGAGAGTTTCAACTCAGGCTGGGCATAATCCTTTCCATGAGTCAGCTTTCTGCATGCATTGTTTGGATGTGTTAAAAGACAGCAACGATTGGACAGATTAGGACTGGTATTCACCACTTTTCCCTGGTGAACCGAGATATTGTCTAGACTTCACATATCAAAGACATAGAGAAGAATTCATTACTGCTCTGTTATGATTTGGGATGGGATGAGAGGAGTTTGGAGAACATATCCCCTTCAACGGGTACGATGACAACAGTAGCCTTCGGAGATGACTTCACAATAACGTGGATGTCATGGTTATTGAACATTTACGTGTTTAACACTTACACTGAAATGATATACTGAACTACTCTGGAAACCCATCATCCAATTACTATCGACCATGGTATATGCAACACGAAATTCGAACCCAAACTATGCTTGAAGTAATCTGACTGTGACAGATGAAAGTGATGCACACCGAGAACTACGTGCATCCTTGTGTGATCACGTGACAAAACATTTGCTAAAAATCAATTTTCCACCTGCAAATCGGGTGAAAATGTGTTTATCACCTGTTTAGAGAGAACGAGCTGTTTGGTTCCTTGATACTGGTTTGTCTGCATGTTAATTCGGGTTATCACAGCACATACCAGAAATTGGCACAACGCGTGGTCAACACCAGCCTGAGGTAGTCACATCGACCTCACTCATTTAAGAAAATAGGTTCAAGCCAGCCTAGAGAACAGACACAACCATTGGTGGATGAAGGGATAGCATTAGTCCTGAGACGATGTGAAATTTAAGTTGGCCACTGTTATTGTTAATCTATTGTTGAACTAATTGCTCCTTCACCCCACATGGTATCACCTTATTTGTGATACTCTGGTATTGCTACTGGTCATCGTCAGCAGGTTTTTAATTTCTAAATTTATTGATGTTTACTATGATAAATGATTGTTCTCGTCACGGTATGGCTGAAATATTGCCGATGTGGCAATATTATTGAATATTATTGATGTGTTCATAAATAATGTAGTTCATTATGTGTTCTCTTGTGCATCCATCTTGATTGACAATTTTAGTGTTAGCAGGGTGTGTTCTTTTCTATATTTATCACGAAGCATAGTTCAGTACATATTATTAAGAAAATAGTTACCTGCATACGTGGTGGCCACAAAGCAAAGCAGGGCAGACAGGACTTTGACTTGCATGACAGTTGACTTCAACTCAGCAGCACACAACGCCGTGTGTGAAGGGGGGATGATAACTCGGACTTTCTGCCTAGCTGCAAAACGTGGTAGGTCCGGGACAAATTCAGCTGTTGCGGAAACGTGCACGAAGCTAACATGATATTTAAAATATCCATTGTAGAAAGGTGTCGGAAAATAACACCACATGTAATCAGTTTTCCTACTGGACAAAAGACTTCTTTGTGTGTAACAAATGGCGTTGTCACTGTCAGTGCATCACCGCTGTGATACCGTGAGTAAAGTAAAGTCTTGTTTCAGGAGTTAGTAGGTCCGGGACAAATACAGCTGTAACACACATTTGCTTGAAGCTAACATAATATTTAAAATATCCATTGTAAAAAGGTGTCAGCAATCACGGCACATGTAATCACTTTTCTAGCTGGACAATAGATTGGTATTGCATCACACTGCTGGTGTTTAGCAAAATCGATGCATAGTACACCGTGTGTGCAAGAGGCCTGCTACGTAGGGTGGTAGATCCGGGGCAGATGCAGCTGTTACGTAAACTTCATCAAGCTTAAATGATATTTAAAACATCAAGTTTTGAAAGGTGTCAGCCATCACAACACATGTCATTAGAACAAAAGACCTGTTGATGACTTGTAACTTCTGGCGTTCCCATGTGGATGTAGGACACTGTGAGTTAAGAGCTGAGTGGGCAGATTCTACCTGCGCCTTCACACTGTAGGTGTTTTGAATACATTTGTATGCCTAAAGTGAGATTGCCGTATCGCTGTATTGTTCACACTCTAATCAAGCTATCTGTCAACACAACTGTCTCACTTATATCAAACTAAGGTCTCTACATCAGCGTCCGGTTCTGGATAGGCAACATTGTATGATACAATTCTCTTCAGATCCCAAACATATGATTATTTTAGCAGAATATTCCTATTGTCTTAAATTGACTGAAATTATACAACAAAATCACATCAATAAGTGAACTGACATGTGATATTCGCCTAACGTGTAGTTTGTCCTGTACATGTTCTTCAACGTTGTTCACTGAGTGAACGATATTTAACGTTGTTCTGTGAGGAAATGGTTTCTCACCTTGTTCTTTGGGTAAATGATCTTTGCAATGCCAGGGAACCGCAAAGTGTCCGCTTATATGAAATAAGGACTATGGTCGGTCTGTCAGGATATCGAGATGTCTGGATGCATGGGTGGATTGGCGGATGGATGGATATCTACGTAACTGACTGGAATACTGCCGCTGTGGCGTAATATTTCATCTCGCTCACTTACTAACTCAAGACAACTGATGATTTTAGTAGCGTGGATGTTTTGTTCCTTTGTAACTGGTATTGCAAGACAAAAGTGAACAGCCCCACACAATATTTTACACTGATGATTTAGTCTATACCTCTACAGGCACGTAACAGGACGACCACATTACACCCTACACACAGGTCACATGACAACAACTCCACACCCTAGACGCAGGTCACATGACAACCACACCACACCCTACACACACATCACAGGACGACCACACCACACCCTACACACACATCACAGGACGACCACACCACACCCTATACACACATCACAGGACGACCACACCACACCCTATACACAAGTCACAGGACGACCACACAACACCCTATACACACATCACAGGACGACCACACCACACCCTATACACAAGTCACAGGACGACCACACAACACCCTGCACACTGGTCACATGACGACCACACCACACCGTACTCATACTTCACAGGAAGACCACACCACACCCTACACACATCACAGGACGACCACATCACACCCTACACACAGATCACAGGACGACCACAGTACACCATACACACACATCACAGGACGAACACACAACATCCTACACACAGGCCACATGACAACCACTCCACACCCTACACACTCATCACGGGACGATCACACCACACCCTACACACACGTCACATGCCGACCACACCACATCCTACACGCACATCACATGCCGACCACACCACACCCTACACACACATCACAGGACGACCATACGACTCTCTATACACACATCACAAGTCGACCAAACCACACACTACACACACGTCACAGGACGACCACACAACACCCTACAGACACATCACATAACGACCACACCACACCCTACACACACATCACAGGACGACCACAAAACACCCTACAAACACTTCATATGCCGACCACACCACACGCTACACACACATTACAGGACGACCACATTACACCCTACACACAGGTCACATGACAACCACTCCACACCCTACACACACGTCACAGGACGATCACACCACACCCTACACACACATCACAGGACGACCACACCACACCCTACAAACATATCACAGGACGATCACTCACTACACACACATCACAGGACGACCACACCACACCCTACACACACATCACAGGACAACAACACCACACCCTACACACATATCACAGGACGACCACACCACACCCTATACACACATGACAGGTCGACCACACCGCACCCAACACACACATCAGCGGACGACCACACTACACCCTACACACACATCACAGGACGACCTCACCACACACTTCACACACATCACAGGACGACCACACCACACCCTACGCGCACGTCACAGGACGTGCCCACCACACCCTACACACATGTCACAGGACGACCACACCACACCATACACACACATCACAGGACGACAACACCACACCCTACACATACGTCACAGGACGATTACACCACACCCTACACACACGTCACAGGACCACACCACACCCTAAACACAAATCACAGGACGACCACACCACACCCTACACACACGTCACAGGACGACCACAACACACCCTACACACACGTCACAGCGTCACAGGACGACCAAACCAGACCCTATACACACATCACATGACGACCACACCAGACCCTACACACACATCACAAGACCACACCACACCCTACATACACGTCACAGGACGACCAAACCACACCCTACAAACACATCACATGATACCCACACCACACCCTACACACACATCACATGACGACCACACCAGACCCTACACACACATCACATGATACCCAAACCACACTCTACACACACGTCACAGGACGACCACACCACACCCTACACACACATCACATGATACCCACACCACACCCTACAAACACGTCATATGATGCCTGCACTACACTCTATACACACGACACAGGACGACCACACCACACCCTACACACACAGCTCATGACAACCACATCACAACCTCCACACACGTCACATGACGACCACACCACACCCTACACACACATCAAATGGCCACCACACCACACTCTACACACACTCTACACACACGTCACAGGACGACCACACCACACCCTACACTCACATCGCAGGACAACCACACCACACCCTACACACACGTCACAGGACGACCACATCACACCCTACAGACAAGTCACATGGCGGCCACACCACACCCTACACACACGTCACATGACGACCACACGACACCGTACACACACGTCACATGGCAACCACACAACACCCTACATACACGTCACAAGGTGATCAAACCACAACCTACACACACGTCACATGACGACCATACAACAACCTACCCACACGTCACAGGACGACCACAAAATACCATACACACACGTCACATGACAACCACATCACACCCTACACTCACGTCACATGACAACCACATCACACCCTACACACACGTCACGTGACAACCACATCACAACCTACACACACGTCACATGACAACCATATCACACCCTACACACACGTCACATGACAACCACATCACGCCCTACGCACACGTCACATGACAACCACATCACACTCTTCACAAACGTCACATGGCGACCACACCACACCTATACAAGCGCCACAGGACGACCACACCACACCCTACACACACATCACAGGACGACCACACGACACCCTATACACATCACAGGACGGCCACTCCACACCCTACACACAATCACAGGACGACCACATCATTCTACACACCCTACACACAAGTCACATGGCGACGACACCACACCCTACACACACGTCACATGGCGACCAAACCACAACCTACACACACGTCACATGACGACCATACTACAACCTACACACACGTCACAGGACAACCAAACCATACCATACACACACGTCACATGACAACCACATTACACCCTACAAATGTGTGCTACAGCTGTATTTGTCTCGGACCTACCAACTCCTGAAACAAGACATAAAAGCTGAGGTGTCAGCCCCCCCTGCACACACTATTTAATGTGTAAACCTTCCACAAATATTAGTACATTATCAGCCAGTTCTGAAAATGAGCCTTGACAATCAAGGTAGCAAGATTAAAGACAAAATATGGAAAATATGTTTTCCCAAACCAAACCATGGCATTATTAGGAAGTGATCGTCATTGATCTTTCTGCTGAAAAAATTACAATAATTGGAATGTATAGAGGATACTAAACGACCTTCAGTGTGTGGTCGCCATGTGACGTGTATGTAGGGTGTGGTGTGGTCGTCATGTGACGTGTGTGTAGGGTGTGGTGTGGTCGCCATGTGACTTGTGTGTAGGGTGTGATGTGGTCGTCCTGTGACGTGTGTGTAGGGTGTGGTGTGGTCATCATGTGATGTGTGTGAAGGGTGTGGAGTGGTCGTCCTGTGATGTGTATAGGGTGTCGTGTGGTCGTCCTGTGATGTGTGTGTAGGATGTGGTGAGGTCGTCCTGTGGCATGTGTATAGGGTGTGGTGTGGTCGCCATGTGACGTGTGTGTAGCGTGTGGTGTGGTCGTCCTGTGACGAGTAGGTAGGGTGTAGTGTGGTCGTCCTGTGATGTGTGTATAGGGTGTGGTGGGGTCGTCCTGTGACCAGTGTGTAGGGTGCGGTGTGGTCGTCCTGTGACATGTGTGTAGGGTGTGGAGTGGTTGTCATGTGACCTGTGTGTAGGGTGTTGTGTGGTCGTCCTGTGATGTGTGTGTAGGGTGTGGTGTGGTCGTCCTGTGATGTGTGTGTATGGTGTGGTGTGGTCGTCCTGTGATGTTTGTGTAGGGTGTGGTGTGGTCGTCCTGTGATGTGTGTGTAGGGTGTGGTGTGGTCGTCCTGTGATGTGTGTGTATGGTGTGGTGTGGTCGTCCTGTGATGTTTGTGTAGGGTGTGGTGTGGTCGTCCTG